TCATGTTTTTAATTTGTTTACTAATTTTTTTATTCTAATTGCATACTCTTTTTAAGTTTTAATTTGATATTTCTTGCTCATATAATTGGCATAACAATAAAATTTAATACATGAAAAGGTTAAGTACATGTTGTTATAATCAATAATTATGACACTTTTTGGTTGAACTAATATTTATATTTAATTAGAATAAATGCATATTTTTGTAATAATTACACGGTTGTGTTTATATGACGTGAACTTGTTTATTCGATTAAGAAATATTTTATTATTATTTATATTTTTATTGTATTTTAAATCACTTTAATAATTATTGTAAGTATTATTAATTTTTATTTCTTAATTAATTATAATTTAATATATGTCCTTATTAATAATTTTACATGTTAACTGCTGATTAAAATAACTAATTTTACCAAACAATCTTTTACAGATCGCTAACATAATCAGCTGGTCAAAACTACAAATATAATCCGCTGATCAAAGCAGCTAATGCAATCCGCTAACAGCTAATAGCTAACCACTGATTACCAAACAAGGCCATAATTATTTTTTTAATAATTAGTGAACGGAAAAATTAATGGTTTGAACTAAAATTTATTATGGGCGAGAAGTTGGATACCACAATTACAATTAGTTTAAGTGAAAACTTTAAGTACCAAAAAAAAAAGCGAGTAAAGTTAGGGTACCAAACTTTTGTTCCCTCTATTTAATAAGTAAGGTGTTTTATGATTCAGCCCAGTTCTCGAAGGTGATGAATGTTCCAAGCTTTAGTTCTGAGTTTGTCCATTTAAAGTCAACCTTCAGAGTTTTACACTGTCCGTGACAAATTGACATATCAAATTGGCGTCATCTGTGACTGTGAGAATAGATTCAGTATTTTAACCAGCTATAAGGGGCTGATCGGATTCTAATAAGTAGTTATTATTCGTTAAAATCAGAAGATAAAAAAAAGATCATGGCAGGAGATAAGTTTAAAATGAATTTGCTGAATGAGATGGATGAGGCTTAGACGTCCCGGGCTTTAGGGAGAGGACCTCCACCAGGGTGGTCGAAGTTGTTAAGCATGCTATACGCTTCTGGAAATACTATCAGAACCACATACGATGTTGATATGTCGGTAGTAAATGCATCGGAAAGACCCCCGGTGGGCAAGGAGCTGATGGTCGTTCATCAAAGTACAAAAACCCCGAAAGGATTAGGGCCGCTAGTAGTCCAAGGCACCGATAATCAACAGCAAGGGAACCCTGTGGTAGATCGACCTCAGGAGCAAGTCGAGGACATATTCTTAACGCCGAAATAAAAACATAAAAAATAACAACAAAACACATACAAAACAACAATTATAAAAAGTTGAGAAACACCTTGAATGCTGCTCTTGGTCTCAATTAAATGAAGGCCATTCATACTGAAAAATGACATGTTTATTTTTTATTAGCTAGGTAGCCACAAAATGGCAGCAAGATATAATCTATATGAACATATATACATGTATGTATTTACAGTTGCTCTAGAAAGTGTAGATTGATGATCTCACAAAAAAGAATCAAGATGAGATCCTAATCCTACTCCTCCTGAGCCACAGCTGATACATGACCATGTGAAAGGCGTCGTAATCGGCCGGCACATGATGCCACTGGAAATGCTCCCTAACACTCATCACATTCCCCTGCATCCTCACGTACTCCTCCTCCTCCTCCTCAAGTATCCTCTTCAGGTACGGTATGTCTGCCTCTGCCACAACTACCGCGAACCGAGACCAGTCGAGCACGTCCCCAAACGGGAGCTCATAATGGTCGGCCACCACGACCGGGACACACCCATAGTAGATGGCGTCCGCCACTCGCGCCGTGTTCACCTCAAACCCCTTGGCGTGGATGCAGTACTTGCTCCCAAGTAGAGCCTCCGAGTACGCGCTCTTCACCCGCGCCTCGTGGACCGAGATCTCCGAGTCGTTGCCCCACGTGCTCACCAGAGACTTGCGCACCCGAGAGTTCATGGCCCCCGCGTAGAATCCCAGCCTTTTCCTGCATTCATTCTCTCCTTTTTATTTATTTATCTCGGACAAATATTGAATTTTAGAAAAGAAAAAAAAAACAGAACAAACCTTTTAGATAAGGAACGAGTCGGAGCAAAATCGTCATTCCTCGGCCAAATCTGCGGTATAGACACATCCTTATGAGCAATGTATCCCGATAAAAAATAGCTCGACGAGCACACCACTTGAATCGCGTTCAATCTCACTTCAATGGCTTTCTCCATGGCCGAGCGCCCGATCGAATGGCACGCGACGTAAAAGTGGTCAGCCCCACCCGTCCGGTTCCAGAAGGGGTAACTTCTACTTATGTTCGAAATGTAGTCCTTAATAAAATCCTGAATACCGGCAACACCAACCCGAGGGTCCTGCCTCAAGCTCGCGATGGAGAACGGGAGGTAAAAGAGGTCGGCCTGCGAGGGGTCGTCTGTAAGGAAACCGCTCATGAAGAGACCCTTTTTGAAGTAGCTTTCGCTTGCATAGTTCCCGCCGGGAACCGAGTCCTCGGGCAAAAGCACGTTGGCGAAAGGGTCGTTTTTTTCGTGTGGGTACACGTAGATTTTGAAGCTCTTTTTCATCTGCTTGTATTCTTCCATGAAGAGCGCCCGGTCGTGAAAGACATCGCCGTTTTCCTTATTGTCGTCTGCAAGTAGTCGACTTTTCTTGATTCAGTGGTTTATGCAAATTATGAAATGGGAAGGTGATTATTAAACAAATTCAAGTTAAGAATAACAGACTTTACACAATTTTCTTGACTGCACATTGTGGCCTCCTTTAGAGAACATGATCATTGACCAACAACACAAAATTACGAAAATGTTGTAACTAACCAACAAGATTGTGTTCTTTAGCACTAAATTTTACTTACCAAATGACCCCACTTTCACATTCTCTGCCATCCCGAGTCCTCCAAAGCCGATCTCCGAGCCACCATCATTCGCAGTCGCGAATCTTTCATGTAACTCGACACGTTCTTGAGATGTAACAGAATGATTAATCCTAACCTGTCGCGTAGTCACGCCTCTTCCAATCAGTCGAGGGCTAATTTTCGAGTACTCGAGAGGTGGATCCACATTAGGCCGCGTTTGTCTCGAACTAACATGCAGTCTTGATGTGGACGACAAGAAGAAGAAAACCGAGCTCACAAAAGCCAGAAAGACGGGCAAAAGGAACAAGCCTCTGCGCGAGTCCTTCAAAAGACGGCGAGAAAAGAACACGAGGTGACTAGCAGCAGCAGAAGCAGCCATGGTTAGCATCAAATGGAGAATATTTTTCAGGTTATATATATATAAAAACAGACAAACTGAATGAATGCAAGTTGGTGGGGTATTTTGGCTATTTCTTGAGAAGATTTCAGTAGTTTAAAGCAGACGTCATTGGGAAGGAGTGTTCAACAGAATTGTATTAAACTTTGAAGGTTGACAAAGTATGGAAGAAAAAAAAATATTAGTTAACTGGAAATTATAGTTATCTTGGAATCTTCAAACATGTACAAATAATTGATTTTTTGGGGTTTAATTTGATAAATGTTTGATTTTTTTTTTATTTTTTTTTTTAACATGTAAAGAAGTATAAAAAAATTATCCCAATAAATGAATGTCAATGGACTGAATAATATATTAAAATTGGTTAGTTTCTTATAATAATGATATTTTACCATGAGAGGTGTTTTTTAACTTAAAAAATATGTGGAATGCTATTTTTCTAGAGTGTTTTATATATTAATCTAACACCAAGCCTTAACACGCCTTGCTTTGTTTATTTTATAGACATCTTGTTTTGTTTGATAACTGAAACTGGCCTTTTTTTTATGTTCTTTAATTTTTATTTTTATTTTAATTTTATTTATTTATTTATTTATTTTTTATTTTTTTTTTTTTGGGACAAGGCTTAAAGTTGACATCTCTGCTACTTAGCAGGGAAATTAAAGAGTGTAACTTTGTTGAAATATCACTTGTGAATTGTCTCTAGTTTCGCTTAGCTCTACTCCTCCCATCACCAATTTGCTTTTGAGATGAAACCTCAGTAAGGTGCACCTAGGCTCACACTCTTATGGTATGTTTCACTTCACAGTGTGGGACTGCGCTCCTGATGCCCCGATTATCAAAAATTTAAGGTATAAAAAACTTACTGTGTGGGACCGCACCCATGATCCCGATTATCAAGCTTAGGATATAAAAAACTCAAGATGCCACTGTTAATAAATTTGATCCCAATGTATAAAAACAATGAACCAAAATGTGAAGCAACACTTATGCCAAAAAGAAAATGTGAGGCAGAAGAAAATATAGAGATTATAATATATTTTGCAGTTAATAATCATAATAGTTTTTAACTTGTCATTGCTTGATCACCAAGCGCGTGGCTTGGGAAGTACTTAGAAGGAAGCGGACAATTAAAAGTAACAAGAAAGCCAAACAAAGCCTATCATCCAGAGTCTACTGTGATTACTTGCAGTAGAACCTGTCGTGAAGGGAAGATAGAGTGGCCAAAAAAATTGCCATTGAAAATGTGTGATTAAATTGTGCCATAAGTTGGCTAGGCAGTTCGTTTATTTAACGAGTCGGGCAAAAATAAATTTTTGTACATAGTTTCCTATATTATGTTAAGGCTCGAATTGGATTCGTGAAAGTTCGAGCTCGACTCGTTCATATTGATAAACGAGCCAAGTTTAAACTCGGTCATCAGGAACTTGAGCGTGACTCGCCCTCTAATGAAGATACATTTATACAGAACTTCCACCAAAGCATTTTCCATGGTTCTAGGCAGTAAATTGGGATACATCTATACAAAACTTTTACCTGTGCACCCGCAATGGAACCGTAAACAGTCAACTGAAACCTAATCCACAAATCGGTTTGATCTATGGACATCATTGTTGTAAAGCTTGTTCTAGTTAAATCATTTTTCTCTTTAATTCTTAATGGAAATGCAAAAAAAAATGGGAAATAAAAAAGACCAGAAAAATAAAGAATAAGAAGCACAACAGAGTTTTTTTGCCCTTATTGACTTACTTCAAGTCTTTCCCACATCAAACGAAAGGAAATCCAGTTAGGGTCGACACAACGACGACAAGGGATAACATGGTACAGTCCACCTTACACCAAAATCAGCTTACACTCATGATTATTTTATTTCTGAATTTATTTATTTACTGTATTTATTTCTAATCAGTCATGAGCCTGTTTGGGAGGCGGCTTCACGATGAGAACGGGGCAATGCACGTGATGCACACAATAATTGCTCACACTTCCCAGCAATGCCCTGCAACAAACAATGCATTGATTTATCAACTAACTAATGCTTTGCTCAGCCGAAGTCTTGATACATTTTTCACTTTCTTGTGGATATTAAGAATTCAAAATGCATACCGACTCTATTACAATCAATCACACGGAACCCATATAAAGAAAACATGCTAATATCAATAGAAAATCGGATATTCTCACATTTAGCCAAATGAATGTCGAACATACGGGCATTCTCGACACGAAAAACCAATAACTTCTAAGATTCATTTCCGATAATCACAGATGAACTCAGTAAAAACACAAGGTACAAACTTAATGACCACACTCATCATATGCGTGAAGCATGATGAGGTGCAATATGATTGAGGCATATTTAATGTTTAGGTACGTGTACCTTTTAATCGCACCAAGCCCACGACTACCAACAACTACAAGATCAACGCCCAATTCCTTGGCTGCTTGACATATCTTATCCTTCGGATCACCTTGAAGAATCAGAGTTTCTGCCTTCACCTGAAAACAGAACATATTATAAATCATTAATCACCAAATGAATTTTGAATCAGAAATCATAATGTAAGATGGAAAAGATCAGAGTTAAATTAAATTCGTCTATTCCCTTTTTTTTTTGGACGGTAAATTTATGTATTTGAACTCCTCAAACATGAGGACTAGCCTCTCTTACTTTAACTAAATCAATCAGAAAAATTCTAGTGATCCGCATGATACATGTCCATAACAATTAGTGAGCCGACTTGCCACTCTCAATAGCAAACCTCTAGAGCTTATACATATATGTAGGGGCGGAGCCACCCCAAAGGCTGGGTTAGTTGTTCAAGTCAAACTCGTTCAAATATACAAGCAAGTCGAGCTCAAACTTTTACAAGTCGAATCGAACTATGTTAAAGGACAACACGATTTCGAATGACAACTGCATATTTTGCAGCCCCGGCTGACAAAAAAATTCCGGCTACGCCCCTGCATATATCGTAATTTCATTCGCTCCATTAATTGGTCGATGAAGGCATCATCACAACAAAATAAAGTCACCTTCTTTTCTTTGCACAGGTGCAAGGCACGAGAGAGAATGTTGGTAGCATTCTCCTCTTGGGCTTTCTTCACGGCATCAATCACCATGGGAGTTGCATACACAACTACCAAATATGCAGAGACATCAACTAAAAAATTAAATCAAATCAACAAAAATGGCTGTCTAACCATGAAAATCCTTGATACAGCCAATCAAATCAATCCAGAGAAAATCGGCCATGAAAATCCATGATTAAACTTTCGATTTCTGTACAATCGGCCATGAATAAACAATATGTAGTACCTGGGCCAGCTGGGTAAACGAAAGGCTGAAAATTTGGCTGGACGTTGAGCAAGGTGAGAAAGTTATGGTGTTGTGACTGTGCAGGGTAAGCGGTGAAGAACTGATCAAGGGCCCATCTCAGTGCGTAGAAACTCCAATCGCTCTCATCTACGGCCACCAGCACCTTCATATTCCTCTCCGCCGGTGACGACGACGACGACGACGTCGTTTGCGTTTCCATGGACCGACACAACTGCAAGTATAGTATAGTACTATGTATCCAGAGGAGCTTAGTTGGGTGACTCTTTAGTCTTTACTTACAAATTTGGGACTTTTTTTATTAATCTTTACTATCAATTGCCAAAAGTAAATAAAAAAGATAATAACAAAACTAATGATTAATATCAACAGCTGTAATGTAAATGTCATAGAGAAGCGGAAGCTGGCAGGGAGAAAGGCCTCACACCTGGCCTCCATGCACCAACAAACATCCATTTCAGCACCGCCTAGTGCTAACAGGATGAGCATGGGTAGGTACAGTTCGAGAATTGACAATTCTCTGAAATTGTACCGAAATTCGGAAATCACTAAAATTCAATTTCCGAAGTTGTACCAAAAAATCTGTTGGTTCAGTTTGATTAGGATATTGTTATTTTTCAGTTCGGTTCGATTCTCGAGACTATCAGTTCGGTTCGGTTCTCGGGACTATCAGTTCGGTTCGGATATTCGGAAATTTCTAATTATATTTAACAAATATTTGAATGACCACCTAGTTGTAATTTTTATATTTTTTTTTTAAATCTAACATTTATCAATACTTTATCATACTAAATATTTTATTTTTAAATCAACTGTAGAAGTAACTCTAAATTCTAGTAAAAAGACTAAATTTGTGCAACTAACATTGAAAAATCATAATTCAAACAAAATATAATAAATTTTTTTTTTTTTATTAAAGTAATATTTCTTTAGCCTTCCATATCATGTTAGTTATAAGATAGAGTAAGACTAGTATCGACAAATTAAGCAATGTTTAAATATTATTTTTTAAAAAAAATATTTCTTTAACTTTTTATACCATTTTAATTATTTCATTTTTAAAACCAGGAAAATTCAATTGTCGATCATGTATTACTAAGCATGAAATTGTTATAACTATATTTTATTTTCATTTTAAAAAATTTCAAATTATATAGGATCAAAGTTGACATAAAATATATTAACATCACACATCTATTTTTATAACTCGGTTCTTAGTTTCGGTTCTTTGGTTCGATACGGTACGAGACGATTCGGTTCGGTTCTCGGTCTGGATATTTGTGAAATCTACCAATTATTTTTTTGGTTCGGTTGGGTTCGGAGAAAGTCAAACAATCAACAGTTATTTTTCGGTTCGGAGTGATTTCGGTTCAGTTTTCAAAACGGTTCGGAATTCTCCGAGTCTCATGCCCAGCCTTAGTACTGATTACATTTATTTATTTACATGTATAAAATGTGCAGTACATACTACTGTTAGTGTTATATACTGAAATTTTGGCTTTGAATGATATTACACTTTTACCCTTTATGAATGAGAAACATCTTACAATAAACAAGTTCTATGTTATGTTGTTTTGCAATTAGATAGAGTGAGTCGTCATCGAGAGAACCGAAGATCATTCTATCATTTACTTGCGAAACAAGAATTGTAATTCACAACCTAGATGGAAATTAACAACTCATCCGAATGGTTGTAGTGTCAACGGTACAGTTTGTCTTGACTGATTAGTTACACTAGTAAATTTATGTATTGAATAGGATCACAGAGATGAGAAGTTCGTTTATACTGATCGTCGTAAACGAAATAGGCCTCGATTAATTACTGCGTTCTCTTAATCCTTAAAATATTAAATAGACATATATATGCAGTATATTATTTCGATTCACAACTTTGCCTCTTCATTCAACGTGCTTAGAGTGGTGGTTGATGAGAATTTGGTCTCAAAGTATAGCCAATGGGTTGATGAAGAAGATGTAAGTCTTACTACTTGATCTGTATTCATGTTTTTTCCTTTTATAATATAAGTATACCATTCAATTATTTTTATTATTATTATTAATAGGAGTCGGATTTCTTGACTCTCATGCAAAGAGAAGAAGAGATTGCGAATGAAGAGGTAAATTTTAATGAACTAAATTAAATGTACCTTAAATTTTTGTTAAAATGAATTTTAATTAAAATAAATCTTTTAGGATGTTGCTTTGGACGATGAGGTCTCCACCCATTCAAGGTCAATAAACAATGTGAAAAAGTTGACGACACTTCAACTGCAAAGAGGAACTTGTCCGATCAATTTGCTTTTGAGTCGGTCACAAGCAATAAGGAAAAAGCGAAGGTTGATGATGATGGAAACTTGCTTTCGACCAATGGAGAAGATGATAGTTAGTAGATCGGTTTTAGATGAATAAGACATTTAGTTTATTATGTTTGGTTTGCTTCAAGGTTTTTATTTGGTATTTGGATATTTGATTAGTATTTAGTTTGATAGGCTTCATGCTTTTTGATTATTTCATGCTTTTTCTCATGATTTTCTCTAGGGAACATATAGCTCTCGAGATTTCATGAATGATAATAAAATTTCTTATTTGCTTTAAACTTGTATTTAGTTATTTACGATTTCATCACTTAATATTTTAATTAAACTAAAAAAGATTAACAAAACATATATATATATATTATTAGTTTCGACTAAATATAAAAAAGATAAATAAAACATTCACGTGATTTTGTTAAGTTCGATTAAATATAAAAAAGATTAATAAAACATGAAAATCAAACTCAAAGTACTTAATTATTGAGAAATACGTCATATAAGACATTTCTGACTTGAATATATGTGCATGTTGTAGCATGCACGACTTAAGTGAATGTTTACACACACACACACACACACACACACACACACACACACACATATAGTGGTTGGTTCAAATAAAAACTAGGTTGGGTGTGAGAATCATATTTGATGCTATTTTTAATTGTGTATGATGATGTTTTTAATATTGCATGGTGCGATTATTTTTACAAATACTAATAAAAATTTTATTTGCTATTTTTAATAAAATATATCCTAATTAAAAAATAGCATAAACACAATCAATCATAGCACTCCATACAAATAAAATTAGCGGTTCTCACGCTAAGACTTGGTTCTCATATATATGTATGTATACATACATACTATATATATGTACACATATATATACATATATATGTATTGAATATTATGTATTCACTAATAAATTATAATGAAATATTTATATATAAAAAATTGAATTCAACTCGATTGACAGTTGACATATCTTTAGCTTTACAAATACACGATTTTATTTGACACATAATATTGTAACATAAAAAAAAAAAAA